TGCCACTTGGAATATATTCATCATCTCATTCAACCCTCAACATTCCCAGGAGGCAGAGATCACCCTTATGTTAAAGGTGATGTAACAAAAGGTTTACTGAGTTTAACAGTTCACATAAAGGCAAAAAGCTGGCTACCATTTGGGCCTGGAGATCCAACCCAAGCTGAATCAGATTCCAGAGCCTACACTCTTTTCCACTGATCATGGTGAATCTGCAAGAAAAATCCAATAAATTTATCTTGAACGGATACCGGGTTCAAAGTTAGTAGCATAGAGCCAAAACCTACGGTCTCACTGGCAAGGCTAGCCTTTTTTCCTTTTTGGCTTTCAATGATGTCCTTTCTGTTCCCTTTCCAAAGTAAAAAGCACTTAGGAGCTCCCTGATAAGTTCTCTTATAAATATAACTGCCCTTTAAATTTTACATGGAGAAGACTTCAAACGTGACCTATTTAATCACTAAACTGTTCTCGTTTAAAGTTACATAGAAAAAAAACAAATGGGGCGCCTGGGTGGCTCAGTTGGTTGGGCGACTGCCTTCGGCTCAGGTCATGATCCTGGAGTCCCGGGATCGAGTCCCGCATCGGGCTCCCTGCTCGGCGGGGAGTCTGCTTCTCCCTCTGACCCTCCCCCCTCTCATGCTCTCTCATTCTCTCTCTCAAATAAATAAAATCTTTAAAAAAAATCATTTATATAGTTCTATATTCTAGTCATATAAACAGATAATATATATGAAGCCTTGAAGATATTTTCCTTGTCTTTGAAAAGATGTCTTTTGAGTTCATCCAGCATATAACCCCCTGGCATTTTATCCTTCCAACTGGGAAGAACTGTTAATCAAGGTCAATGAAGAGACACCTTCGGGCAAGGGGACCAGCACATGTAGTGTGCCTGGAGCTTTCCCAATTATAGCACAGAGAGTCCTCCATCCCGAGAACCTCCTCAGTCCCAGAAAAACCTGGAGGAGTGATCACTCTGTGGCCTCAGGGTACCATATAAATGCAGTTAGGTCTTCAACAAAATTTACTAAAATGTGAGTTCATAGTAAATCGGAGATGACCATTATTATTAAGTACAACTTAAGATATTTGGGCAGCTAAGCAAAGAGGAATTATAAAGCTCTCCATATTCATGCTTAACCAAGAGAATGTTGCTGAGAACATACAAAGTTTGTCAAATTCTTCATTGTGGTGATATTCAATATGCCCACCGGCATTCATATTCATGCAGTTGAAAAACAAGCGCTGAACAGCACATATACATTTATACACAATGAACAGCTCATCTACATGTAAAATTGAGACGCTATGTGAGCAAAGAATGAGAGAGGAATCAACTTTCATCCAAGAACGTTAAAGTACCTCATCCCTGTGAAATGGAAGAAAAGTCTCATTTTGAGGTTTCAGTTTTGCAGTATCATGACAGGCTAAAAACTCTTGCAAGAGTAGAAACAGGAAATCTGTAAATTAAAGAGGTTGGACCAGTACATACTAAAGTCCTCTCTAACTTGAACATTCAATGACTCAAGTTCATCCCTGTGTGACCCCTTTACTTCACAGGTGAAGCAAGTCAGGCCGGAGGGTTACATGACATTCCAAGGGTCCAGCTGTGGCTGGGGATAGAGCCTGGGCTGTTTACTAGCCATGCTTTCATCATAATTATGTTTAAAAACACCTGGACCAGGGCGCGTGGGTGGCTCAGTCGGTTAAGGGTCTGCCTTCGGCTTGATCATGATCCCAGGGTCCTGGGATCCTGTCTCGGGGGCTCCCTGCATAGCAGGGAGTCTGCTTCTCTCTCTCTCCCTTCCCCCTTCTTGTTCTCATTCTCTCACTCTCTCTCATTCAAATAAATAAAATCTTAAATAAAAACACTTGGACCAAAAGAGCATATGATCAGCATAAAAAGATAAAGGACACATTCCAACTCATGTAGGGTATTTTACTTAGTTTAACTCATAAACAGATAAGTGGGCCTTCACTTCTTTTTTTTTTAAAGGGGAGTCTAGAAGCTCTTTAAACTGTCCTTAGTTACTTGAACCATATAATGGCACAACATTCTGAATATATACACAGTACTTCTTTTCACAAACTCTCCAAACAAGCGAAAGGAAGGAACACAGTAACTTGAAAAGAGAACGAACATCTTTGCAGTTTGAAGGACCCCCAAAATACAGAAAACTTTCCAGACTAATTATTGCTGCAGTTCAGGTGTCCTAGCATCAGGGTCTTGTAAGCAAAACAAACAAGCACCTTACCAGTTTAAGGGGTGCCAGAAACAATGAGGAAGCTTGCGATGTCTTTATTCTGACAACTTTACTCTTAAAAAATGAGATTACAAAGGAGCACAGAAGTATACAGGCACTTCCTGTCCAGCCATTATGTTACCGTCCCTTAATCTGGGAAAACCCCGATTTAGATAAACCTGAAAATCTGCTGCCTTCAAGGGAAAAGATGAATTGTTTTAGGTAGCTGGTACATACCGAGGTCTTTCTCAATCACGCTTTTGAACCGACGCTGATCCATCCACATGCCAGCTGTGTACCCCTACAACCGATGATCCGGACCACTTGCAAACAGGTTTAGGGCTATAATCTACCTCTGTAATGCACACCAAAGCTTGCTGAGCCCCACCACTCGACCCTGGCTTCATTGGTACCCCTTTCCAACAAGAGGCAGCAGGGGATATTCCTGCGCAAGGCCAGAGCCACTGTGCCAAGGGACCTTCGCTAAAATCTCCCAAGCTCTCAGTTTCCTGATTGTCTCATCTGTGGAATGGGGTTAATAACGTCACATATTCAATGTCTATTAAGTCAAGCTAATAATACATAAACACTTGAAAGGGCTTTGTAAGTTACAGTCATAATATTTACGTTACCTAACCAACTGAGTTGACAAAAGACTATTTCTGATATAACTAAACTGCCCCTGGGGTCATATGAATACATATATAATCTGTCACAAAAGTCTTAACATTTAAATACACAATAAATAGTTATCAATTCAAAAGACAAGTTGAGCAAAGCACTATAAATTATAGATAGGTAGACTTCTTCAGTAATATAGCAGTTAGAAAGGTATGTTACTTGAACTTTATGCTGGAAATCACATGATTTCTTTCAAAGATTTATTTATTGGGGGGGAGGGTGTGAGAGGGGCAGAAGGAGAGGGAGACAGAATCTCAAGCAGAGGCTGCACTGAGCGGGGAGCCTGACTTCAGGGCTGGACCCCACAACCCTGAGATCACGACCTAAGCTGAACCAAGCGGCGAACATTTAACCGACTGAACCACCCAGGCACCCCACATGAGGATTTTTTTTTTTTAAGATTTTTTTTTATTTGTTTTTGTTGGAGAGGGAAGGGGGGGGGGAGAGAGAGAGAGAGAGCGCGCGCGTGAGCATGAGAGGGGGGAGGGTCAGAGGAAGAAGCAGACTCCCTGCTCAGCAGGGAGCCCGTTGCGGGACTCGATCCCGGGACTCCAGGATCATGACCTGAGCCGAAGGCAGTTGCTTAACCAACTGAGCCACCCAGGCGCCCCATGAGGAATTTTTTTTAATGCCAGTTTTACACATGCCCTCACAGGCCTCCAGGATAAAGGTGCTCGTTAACATTTAATAACGTGCACAGTTCATTTCCCCAATAATACTTCAAACATTTTTTACTTGTATTCTTTTCAATCTAAGATGCTGGATCAACACAGCCCCCCAGCTACAGTCATATTCTTATTTGCATAAAAAGAGTAGAATGGAATGGAAAAACCCTCTACATCCACAGCCATCTACCACTACAAAGAAAAAGCGGAATGAAAATCAAAGGCAAATAGTACTTTTCCATAGACAAAACGTTCTTTAAAATCCCCTCAGTTTCCCAAACTCGTAAGTACCAAAGGAACATTATACCCTTTTCAAACAAACATAAGAGGATGACTGCATCAACTAAAACAGAACCAAAACCCTACAACGGAATGCTTATATTAAAACATCCTTCATACAATCATCCCTGGACTAATTTAAAAATTAAGTTTTGCAGTATGAATTCTGTACAATTTAACTTGGAATTGTGAGCAAAAATAGGGTATGAGAAACACTCAAGTATTTCCCCCTCTTGGAGACTCACGGAAATTCTTCAGCAAGAAAGTCTGCAGAATGCAACAAAAAATTTTTGAAAACTGGAACTGTATTTCCAGGTGACTCACAACAGTTTTAATTGAAGTATCTCCTAAATTCTTAAACAAGTACACTTGCCCTAATTTCTTCACTCACAGACCTAATGTTTTCTTGCAACATCAGACTGTTGTAGGATATAGGTAATCTCTTCTTTTTAAAGATTACATAACTTCTTTCTAAACGATATCTATGAGGCTAAATCAAAAACGGTGTAACTAAAATAGAAACAGACGTGTAGATAACCACTTTTAAGAGAGATTGGAACTGTTTAATTTTCAGAGAGTCGTAGCTGAGGAATGAGTTTCTCAATAAATTAATCAGAATCATCAAAAGCAAACACTTCATGCTCAGCCAAAGCAAACGAGATGAGTCATATTATAACAGTAAAGGCAAAGGACAAGGACTCAGTGACTTTTTAAAGGTTAACTTTTCTCATTCTCTCAATATTTTCCAGGTTCGACTGCCGTGTTGATGCATCAGACTGGAGCCCACGGAGGCCTATTTATCTCAACTATCGGGACCACAGCGAGTTCTACACCGGGGAAAAAACGCTATCTGCATACCTGTTCTGAAAAGCTTGCAATAATACCCAACTTAAGAAACAACCACGGGACAAAAAAAACTCAAGCAAGCACCAGCTTCCACCACCCCACCCCACCCCACTCTGCTCCTTTCTTTTGCTCTTCCATTCAGTGGTTAACTTTGAAGACAAAAGCAAAAAAACCTGTTGGAATGGATTTTTTTTTTTTAAGATAAATACCATATATGAAGCAGAAATAAGTTGCTCTAAGGAAGCTGTCGACCCATTCGTTTACATACAGCCAAAGAAGGTACACCCACATGTATTCCGATCAGTGAAGATGCAACCTGGTGATCTGCAGAGAAGACGGGGCTGAAACAAGTCCCAGAGACGGCTACTCTCCCAAGAGGGGGCGTAAAAAATGTGGCTCTTGACCCAGGCAGCTTCAGAGATGCGGGCTCCGCAACTCTCGAGGTGCAGAAATTCAAACGAACCCCTGCCTCTCACAAGTGCAGCATCTCCAGGAGGAGGCAGGGCTCCGCACCGGGAATCCCACCCACGGGGCGCTCTACTTCGCTGAGTCCACAAACAGCCCCAGGCCGGACTGCGCTGGCGGCTCCACCCAGAGGCCGAGGAGAAAGCGAGCCGCGAAAGGGATCCGCGGGCGGGAGGAAGCAGCCTCGCGCGAGGCCGGAGCGGGAGAGCCGACCTCCCGGCGCTCCGGCTCCCGGCGGGGCGGGGCTCACCTGGCGTGGGGGGCGGCTGGGCGCGCGCGCCGCCGCTGCCGCTGCTCTTCCTGGGCTGCGGGCCACAGCGCCCCCGGGCACAGCGCCCCCGCGCAGCGGGAGGGGCCGCGGCGGCCGGCGCCCGGGTTCCTCCGCCCCCGGCCCCGGCGCGCCGTCTCCGCCGAGGGCGCCAGCAGCTGCAGGCACCGCCTCAATGCCCGCCGCCTCGCCATCGCGGAGACGAGCTGTACGCATAGGCCGAGGCAAAGTTCGCTCCACGTGGCCTGCTCCCTCACTCATTGTGACCTTCGAATCTGGCAGCCCTGCCCGCGTCGGCGCCGCCACTCCGGCCTTTACCAAGATGGCCGCCCCCGCGGACCCCAACTCCGAGGCCATCTTGGTAAAGGAGGCACCACGGACCGCGCGCTTAGAACCCCTCCCCTGACCCTTCCGCCTCCCGGCCAGCGCGCGCCTCGGCTTCGCCCTGCAGAAACCTTTCTCCTACCAGATTGGTTACCCTGCCCTAAATCAACAGCTAACTTTCAGATGCATGAACACTTTCCTAGATACCAGCCGTAACTACTAAGACTAAATGGGTTCTTGGTGGCATCTCATAATCGGCGCTATCGTAGTAGACAAGCTCTTGGTAGAATACTTAAAACCGATGGTGCCATGAGCCTGGCAGCAAAGAAACTAATCTGAAGTGTGTACAAGAGATACTGAATGTTAATGGCAGCACTGCCTTGTCACAGTGTGCTCATTACCTTTTTAAAATGATGTCACAGCCTCCTAGTAGTTTTTTTTTTCTTTTTTACGCTCTCAGGATAAAGGGCATGAAATTGTGATTCCGAGTTTCTCCCAGGATTTTTATTTTTTTAAAGATTTTTACTTATTGAGAGAGAACAGGGGTGCACAAGTGGGAGGAACAGAGGGAGATGGAGAAGCAGACCGCCGCTGAAAGGGAGCCCCACAGGGGCCTATATCCCAGGACCCCGGGATTAGGGCCTGCACCCCATGCAGACGCTCAACTGACCGAGCCGCCCATGCACCCCTGGGATTTTCTTTTTAAACTGCAGGATGATATTATTTGTTTTAAGCAGTAATTTAAGCACAAACAGGTGGAAATCAGGTTGAAATTGAATTCATCAGCAGATGGTTGGGCAAAAAGATTCCTTCTTAAGAGTCTCCTGCTTGTGCCCATGGCCTTTGAGACTTGAGGTGTGGGCTGTTATGTTGGAAAAAACAACACACAGGCCCCAAATGCAGATAGGACAGTTGGAAAATACAAAGCAAAGTATTTTGCTATCTGAAAGTGAAGGTGCCTGTGTCATACTGCAGAAATACAAAGATTAGGTCAGGTGTGGACCTTACTCCCTCGGGCTAGTGCTGATGTCACTCAATATTCAGTCCATATTCAAGTTTCTAGGATTGTCCCAAGAATGTCTTTTATAACTTTTTCCCTCTGAACTAGGATACTGTCTAGATTCATGGGCTGCATTGGCTTACTATGCTTAATAATCAGTTTGAAGTGTTCACTTGCTAACTCTTCTCTACACATACTTACAGATACCGTGAAGAGACAAGTGTTCACAGGGTGTTCTTCCGTGAGAGCAGGTACTTGGGATAAGGATATCTCTCTAAATCAGGAAAGCCTAGGAGAGATGAATAGTCTTTTAACACACACTGAGATTATAATTGAAGCTGTATTAATTAAGGAGTAATGTTTATGCTTGCTTAACTCCTGGAATACTACATAAACTTTATGGATTGTGTTGTAATCTCTGCTCAACACAACTTCTAAAGCTTTTACGATGGTTGGATTTTTTTCTAGGCAATGAAAAGAAGCTGATCAGTGTAACAATTTATATCACTCCAGGCAAAATTTCTAGGTCGCCGTGCTTCCCTGTACAGGGCAAAGTGAACACTGCACTCTCTGCATTTCACTCATGGTTTAATTTTAGACCCTGACTTGCTGAACTGAGTTTTATTTGTCCTTCCCTCTTATGCCACCCTTAGGAAGCCAGGCACTTAGCGCATAATGATAACTATGTGTCTTCTAAATGGTTACTATTAAAAACAAGACAACAGGCACCAAATGGAGTCACTCAGGCTAAGCTTTCACATCACCAAACTGAGAATTAGTTTTTGCCTCTCTCAGAAATGGAATCTTAAACTAATCAGGAATCACCTGATCAGCACTAACAAGATCACCTGCGTGATAGACCCCTGCCATCACCTAAAGGAAAGAGACTTTGCCAACCAACCCACTTTCTGCTAGTGTAACTTCTATGCCCTGCTCCCTTGGAAACTGCTATAGAAACATAAAGATGGATGGAAATTCAGATGGACACAGTGGACACAGTAATGCTTCACCACGGCTTGACTTTAAACTGTACACATTTTCCTCCTCTTTCTTGAAGCTTTCCCTTCCCCTTCACTTTTCAGAATCCTTTGTTCCAGGAACTTGTATCAATGTTGACATCTTGCTGACCTCAACGTATACTTAGTAACAAGACTCAAGTGGCCAGAGGGAGTCTTGAGACCACACTGAAGACCGTGAAGGTGGCTGGAAGCCTATACCAGATTCCTATCGAAACCACCCAGATCCTGTACTTTAAGATTTTATTTGAGAGAGAGAGAGAACGCATGAGAGGGGAAAGGGTCAGAGGGAGAAGCAGACTCCCCACTGAGAGGGGAGCCCAACGACGCTGGACTCGATCGCAATCCCGGGATCATGACCTGAACCAAAGGCAGTCGCTTAACCAACTGAGACACCCAGGTGCCCCAATCCTGTACTTTTCTATAAAACCCCTCAGTCTTTTCTCCTGGGGGCGTCTGTAGTTTTGAAGGCAGTAGCCTGTTGCAGCCTCCTTTGCCTGGCAAAGTAAGGAAACGATCGTGCCTTTTTATCCCCAAATTCTGTCCTTCATGTTATATTTCAGCTCAAGAGCAGAGAGGGGTTTTTTTTTTTTTTTTTATTCATGAGAGACAGAGAGAGAGAGAGAGAGAGAAGCAGAGGGAGAAGCAGGCTCCCAAGGAGCAGGGAGCCCGATGCGGAACTCGATTCCAGGACCCCGGGATCATGACCTGAGCCGAAGGCAGACGCTTAACCATCTGAGCCACCCAGGCGCCCTGGGTTTTTTTTTTTTTTTTAAGATTTTATTTATTACTTTGACACAGAGAGAGAGACAGCTAGAGAGGGAACACAAGCAGGAGGAGTGGGAGAGGGAGAAGCAGGCTTCTTCTGCAGGGAGCCCGATGCGGGGCTGGATCCCAGGACCCTGGGATCATGACCTGAGCTGAAGGCAGACGGTTAACCAACGGAGCCACCCAGGCGCCCCGAGAGATTGGTTTTCAACACCTTCTTCCTAGAAGTCTTTCATTTTGCACAGCTACTCAGAACTCCTTTCTATCTGCTGGATGGGATGCTGCCCGAATCATGAATCATTGAATAAAGTCAATAAAGATCTTTAAAATTTACTCAGCTGAGGGGTGCCTGGGTGGCACAGTTCCATAGTGTTAAGTATATTCATATTGTTGGGGAAACAGATCTCCAGAACTTTTTCAACTTGCAAATCTGTAACTCTATACCCATTAAACAACATTCCCCTTTTCCCCCTACCCGTTGGCCCTGATAACCACTATTCTACTTTTTATGTGGATTTGACTATTTAAATATCCCATGTAAGCAGAATCATCGGTATTTGTCTTTTTTATGACTGGCCTATTTCACTTAGCATAGTGTCCTCAAGATTTCTCCGTGTGGTAGTATGGGACAGGATTTTCTTCCTTTTTAAGACTGAATAATATTTTATTGTATTTACCACATGTTATTTATCCATTCATCCCCTGATGGCCACTTGGGTGGCTTCTGCCTCTTGGCTATTGTGAATAGTGATGCTATCAACAAGGATGTGCAAATGTCTCTTCAAACCCTGCTCTCCATTCTTTTAAATATGTGCCCAGAAGTAGGATTGCTGGATCCAATGGCATTACTATTTTTAATGTTTTGAGAATCCTCCATGCGGTTTCCATAGTGGCTGCTTCATTTTGCACTCCCACCAATGGTGCCCAAGGGCTCCAGTATCTCTACATCCTCACCAACATTTGTTATATTTTGGTTGGTAGTAGCCACCCTAATGGGTCTGAGGTGATCTCATTGTGGTTTATTAGCAGTTTTCTGATGATTAGTTGGAGAAATGTCTGTTCAAGTCTTTTGCCCATTTTGAATTATATTATCTTTTGTTAAGTTGTAGGATTCTTTATATCATCTGGATATTAACCCCTTATCAGATATAGGACTTGAAAATATTTTCTTCTGCTCTATAGATTGCCTTTTCACTCTAATTGGGTCCTTGATGCACAAGTTTGAGATAGTCCCATTTGTCTTTTTGCTTTTGTTGCCTGTGCTTTTGGTGTCATATCTAAGAAACCACTGCCAAGTCCAAAGTCATGAAGTTTTTCCCGTTTTCTCCGAGCAGTTTTATAGCTTGAGGTTGCACCTATTTTTGTATGGCCTGTGAACTAAGTATGGCTTTTACAATTTTACTTGGTTGGAAGAGGGCAGTGAGAATCAAAAATATTTTGTGACTCCTGAAAATTACACAAAATTCAAATTGCAGTGTCCATAAAGTTTTATTGTCACACAACATTCATTCGTTTACATATTGTCTAACTGCTTTTGCACACAAGGGCAGAGCTGAGTACTTGCTCCAGAGATGTAGGACACACCAAGCCTAAAATATTTACTATCTGACCCCTTACCAAAAAAGTTTGCTGACCTCTATGTTAGGCTACTTTTCTCCCCCTATTCTCAGTATCTGAGATGGGCCAGAAAAGAAATAGAGTCAAGGTCTTAGAGACAAGAACTGTGTTCTACCTAAAGGGACAGTTAAGTAAAATTTCTCCAAACCTTCTCTTCTTTTAAAAGCAGAAATAGCAACCAAGGAGTGTCTGGGTGGCTCAGTCGTTAAGCGTCTGCCTTCAGCTCAGGTCATGA